CTCTTCTCTTCTCTTCTTCTCTTTGATGGATCTTCTCCTCTCAACCTTTTCTGTGAGTGTGTTCTGTGTTTTTTTTTTTTTAATTTTTTTCTCAGTAATTAGGGCTTCGGCTTAAATTAATCATGTAGAAATACAGATATGCTCATTTTCTTATCACTATGTTCTTCATTTGGTATATCAACATGATGCAAAGTCTTCGGATTAAGATGACACAAACATGTTGTTTGTATTAGATATATATAAATGAGTTTTCAACATCTATAACAGCTGGTCCAACCTTTTGTAGGGAAGAAAAGTGTGTCCAAATACACCTGGAAATTGAGGTGGGTTTTACACACACACACACACATATCAATATATTTATATATATGCAATAGAATATATAAAATGAGATAGAGACTCCAGTGAGGTCCAAGTGATGAGAGTGATTAATGTTACATATACATAATATGTATAGAGAAGAGAATGAGAAAGAGAGGAGAGAGAGACAGGAGTATGAGGAGAGGATTGAAACATGAATGCAAGGCAGTTGCTGAAAATTTATGTTTGTTCTACATCTGTTTGTGATTGGATTGCTATGGAAAGAACTGGTATTGCATTTGTTCGAAAAAAATATGTATGATTGTTCTGTATTGACTGCATCTGTTTGTGATTGGATTCCTAGGGAAATAGGTGGTATTGCTTTTGTTCAAAAAAATACTTTATTGTTTGTTTGTTGTTTGCTATTTGTCGTATATGTTTGCCCATTGCACAGAGGTGGTGGTTGAGGAAGGAAGTGCAAAAACATGTTTTTGGTTTTTTTTTTTTGTTATGAAGAAGTGCACATATTGAATTATATTGAAAATTTGTAAAATTTTAAACCGCCAAACCGATACGCATCCACCTGCCAATTCGTCAATCTGCATCCTCCGGATTGGCTGATGGATGCGGATTGATTTTCTCCAATCCGCCAATCCATTGGACGGATGGCTGATTGAAGGTTCCGTGGCCGCAACCGATCTGTGCCCACCCCTACAACTGGTTAGTTGTCTGGCACGGGAACTGAATACAATAGTCATGTTTGGCTACACACATATACTATCCTGCACTAGACCCAAGAACACGTACTTTCGGAAAATTATTAGGTACTTTTTGAAATCATTATTTATTATGCCTTTTTATGTTATTCAATCATCTAATACAAAATCATACTTTCCAGATCGCTAAAACCTCATCTCATTGAGTTTGGATCTTCTACTTGACTTCCCTCCGGTGCTCCTTATGAAGGACGACTTAAATTGGGCCACGTCTCTCGCTCAAAAATGAGCGACTGGAATCTACTCCATTGAAAAAAAAAAATTCTAAAACTGAATTGGAGTTTCAAAATAGTCAATACAAAAGATTGAACTCTGCATTCAAAAAAAACTAACACCAGAAATCATAACCCAACTAAAAAAAATCAAGAGTTCAAAAGTACTGGATCTGAGTCTGGGGGTTTTTTCTAGGGTCTTTTTTGCTATTTATACTACTTAAGGATGACCATCAAACTGTATTTCCAATCGTCGAACTTATCCACCATGATCGCTGATCATGTTGCCTCAAGATTAGCTCCATTACACCATCACTTGCAGTTAGGCTTCCCTCTTGAATTTGAATTCAAATGTGAGTAACCGATGATGCCACATCACTTTATATCTCTCTAATGATCCACTGCTACTCAGACCTTGTAACAATCAATATTAACTGACACGTGTACGACCAAGATCGAAGATTTGAATAGTCTTCCTGTACTACCCTTATTTTGCCACGCGTCGAATTGTAATTGGCTTGTACAAAATATGTAGCCAACAATGTGATATCAAAAATTAGTATTATTACATCGATTCGAAGGTTTTCAGCGATCGAAGCATCGATTCGAAGGTTTTCAGCGATCGAAGCATCGATTCGAAGGTTTTCAGCGATCGAAGCATCGATTCGAAGGTTTTCAGCGATCGAAGCATCGATTCGAAGGTTTTCAGCGATCGAAGCATCGATTCGAAGGTTTTCAGCGATCGAAGCATCGATTCGAAGGTTTTCAGCGATCGAAGCATCGATTCGAAGGTTTTCAGCGATCGAAGCATCGATTCGAAGGTTTTCAGCGATCGAAGCATCGATTCGAAGGTTTTCAGCGATCGAAGCATCGATTCGAAGGTTTTCAGCGATCGAAGCATCGATTCGAAGGTTTTCAGCGATCGAAGCATCGATTCGAAGGTTTTCAGCGATCGAAGCATCGATTCGAAGGTTTTCAGCGATCGAAGCATCGATTCGAAGGTTTTCAGCGATCGAAGCATCGATTCGAAGGTTTTCAGCGATCGAAGCATCGATTCGAAGGTTTTCAGCGATCGAAGCATCGATTCGAAGGTTTTCAGCGATCGAAGCATCGATTCGAAGGTTTTCAGCGATCGAAGCATCGATTCGAAGGTTTTCAGCGATCGAAGCATCGATTCGAAGGTTTTCAGCGATCGAAGCATCGATTCGAAGGTTTTCAGCGATCGAAGCATCGATTCGAAGGTTTTCTTCTCTTCTCTTCTTCTCTTTGATGGATCTTCTCTTCTCAACCTTTTCTGTGAGTGTGTTCTGTGCTTTTTTTTTTTCATTTTTTTCCCAGTAATTAGGGCTTCGGCTTAAATTAATCATGTAGAAATACAGATATGCTCATTTTCTTATCACTATGTTCTTCATTTGGTATATCAACATGATGCAAAGTCTTCGGATTAAGATGACACAAACATGTTGTTTGTATTAGATATATATAAATGAGTTTTCAACATCTATAACAGCTGGTCCAACCTTTTGTAGGGAAGAAAAGTGTGTCCAAATACACCTGGAAATTGAGGTGGGTTTTGTCTGAAACTCATAACACACACACACACACACACATATCAATATATTTATATATATGCAATAGAATATATAAAATGAGATAGAGGCTCCAGTGAGGTCCAAGTGATGAGAGTGATTAATGTTACATATACATAATATGTATAGAGAAGAGAATGAGAAAGAGATGAGAGAGAGACAGGAGTATGAGGAGAGGATTGAAACACGAATGCAAGGCAGTTGCTGAAAATTTATGTTTGTTTTGCATCTGTTTGTGATTGGATTGCTATGGAAAGAACTAGTATTGCATTTGTTCAAAAAAAATATGTATGATTGTTCAGTATTGACTGCATCTGTTTGTGATTGGATTGCTATGGAAATAGCTGGTATTGCTTTTGTTCAGAAAAATACTTTATTGTTTGTTTGTTGTTTGATGTTTGTCGTATATGTTTGCCCATTGCACAGAGGTGGTGGTTGAGGAAGGATATTGTAGGAACCCACATTTTATGTCCTCATCATGTTCATGAGCATCGGTATGATTATGACTTGTTTAGCTTGCAAGTGTATGTTGTGATTTGTTTCGCTTGAGCTAACGTGATCCATGTCTTGTTTTGAAGCCTTGTGGTTTGTCTAAGTGTAGTATACTTGTCTTGTTCCTCCCTTAATGTGAAACTTAGGTTACGCCTTGGTTGAGTTATGCTAGCCGATGTTATTCCAATGCCGAGGTCATCCTTAGTCTAGTATTAGTATCTTGAAACCCCTTGTCGACCTCCGTCCTTGCCTTGACCACATTAGCCGAGATGATACCCTGTACCCAAGCGATCTCGTCCTGGAGTGGTGCGACCTAGGCCGAGGTGTGGCGCATCTAGGCCAAGATGTGGCACAGCTTAGTCAAGTGTTGTCCCTCCTAGCCGAGGTCATTGTCACCTTAGTTGCCGAGGTCCTTTTGTTAGCCGATGTCACCCCTTGCCGGAGTGCCATTCCGTGTAGCTTGTTAGATACGCCTTGTTGCTAGCCGATGTCATAGCCTGTTAGAGAGCCCATACCGCTTTGCTTGTTGAACACCCTTCCACCATGCTTTGTCTGGCCTGTCAGCCACCTTTTCAGGTAGAACCCAACCGGTCGCCGCCACGTGTCTCAGCAGAGGGTTAACCCCAGAACCGAGTATAGAAAACTATCATTTTAGTATCATAAACTTGCCTTGTAGAGAGAGAAGCTCTAGGAGGAAGAAGGAGTTTTAGAGTGAGGAAGTAGATCTTCGAGCTTGATTCCTAGAGATCGGACCGTTAGATCCGTGTTCCAAGGTTAGATTCTTGATCTGCTCTTGTTGTTCTCTATGTTCATGTTATTGCATTGCATGATCGGTTATGACTTGTAAGCCATGCATCGTTTTGAAGTTCGATTTTTTTTGAAAGAGAAAATGACATTCATGTATTCCAAACATGTCGGCCAATGCACCAAAAACACATCGTACGTCTAGGCTCATGCACTTCTGTTCTCACCTACATATTATATATGAGAGTACTTGATACTCAGTAATGATATTAGAATAAAGGTTTTGCATGAATGATATCCAAGATTCTTTCAAAACAAACAATAGATACTTTTCAATAAGGGGAAATCAAGTTCATTGACTCCTTTCAAGTTCTTTGGATGTGTATTAATCTATTAATACGAGAGGGTATGACAATTACAAGACAAGAGTGCAGTTGCAATAGTCCCCTGAAGTAAGACTTTCGAACAAGAGATCAGTTGATTATAGTCCATGCACTAAGACTTTCCAGACAGAGTAAGTTGCAATTATTAGTCCTGAACTAAGGCTCCGAGGCAAGAGGTGCGTTGCATTATAGTCCTCAACTAAGGACTTTCAAAAATGTATCCAAAAAAAAATAGTGTTTAAATACAATTAGGGGGATAGTCATTATGCTCAGAAAATACTTTTCAAATACAAGCAGACGAGATTTATGAAAGCAATGAACATAGCTTGATTAAAAAACCTTCACTAGTTTTACCAGTCGGGTTGAGACAAGCCATCCTACAAACACAGGGCAAAGCATGAATCACTTTCAACAAGTCCTCTAATGTATTGCAAGGATTCGAAAAGCATGATGAGCATAACCAGGTCTAGCCGAGTCCTTCTCCAGGTGGCCGAGGGCCACATGCAAGGAAAAGGTGGGAAACTCTGGATCCTCTTGAATGAAATGAGAACATGAGATGTGAAAAAATGAAAAATCATGTTTACATATCTGTCATACAAATTGGATTTCGTCTATGAGTTAAAACATGGACCTGATACGTTATTGGAATCCTTGGAATAAACACAAAAACATGATTCTTATTGCAACTTTACCGAATCAAACAAACTTTCTGAAACACCTGAA